TGTTCACGTCGTTTTAACCAAGTTTGCGAATTTTCGAGGGTGAACTATAAAGGAAACCGGCAGATCATTGGTTATTTGACTAATAAATTAGTGGCGTGACAAGCAAAAAACTATCGTAGAAATTATCCAAGGTTACGCAGACTATTTTATATATAATAAGAGCTAGATAAGAACTTGAGCTCGGCCGGCTTGTGGCGGTAGGTAGTCATCGTTAAAACATATATAGGAAATATATATTTTCGACTCGGTAATTGAAGTCGACTACTGATTGTATTTCTTGTACTGATTGTATAAAAATAGAAACGCACAAAGACCAGCTCTTTAGTTATTATTATAAATAGTAAATTGGATGGACTACAAAAATACATGCCCAAATAACTGAAAGTGCAGAAGAATATTTATGTACATGTGTACCTCAGAAAACAGGAGCTTACGACATGTATAGTTTATATGATTTTTCTTTCATCCATCGTATGTACATTAAAATGTTTGCTATCACGAGTGATTTTGTATTTCTTTTTCAATGTGCAGTTGCACTAACCAAAAAATATGTTGTCAAATATTTGTTATACAAAATAAGCAATGTACACACCACACAGGCAAGATAAAGCGTAACACATATCAGTGTCTCACAGGCTAGTTGCATGTTTAAAATTTTATCATTGTTTTATTTTTAACCAAAAGTTTCACTTTTCTCTACTCAGCATATTTTGACCTGATCTTCGTCTGTATATTCGGACGTTTGTTCTACATCGAAAAATACTGGAATGAAAGTTTGTGAAAGCGTTTAATGAAATTGCATCTGTTATCCGTAGTGGTAGGTATAATGATTAATTTTAGAACTCAAATTGAATCGCTTATCAACATGTGCAATGTAATTAATACTACAATTCGAGTGTATATACATATGTATATCAGTGTTTCAACCGTGAATAATGAATTTGAACTGTCGTTTAAAATTTGTCTTTCCAATATGTATAGGCATGCCAGTAAAACTTTTCCAAAAGCAAGTCACCTGTTGTACAGACATACTTTATATCTCTTAAATCATATTTTTAATAGTTTTTTTTTTATAGTATTTTCATATTTTCTACATAATTTTACGACACATACATTTTACCTTACTGATTTTATATATAGATATCCTTACTGACTTACTACATATAGATATCAAGTTTTTAAATTCAGGTATTTACATAAACAAAGGGTAAAGTAGGTATACAAACTTCGATAATCAAGTTTCTACAACTTTATATATGATGAGCTGTTGTTAAAAATTGAAAAAAAATCCTTGTGTGTATATTGTTGGTATAGTATGGATACATATCGTGTCACTCAAAAGTATTCGAACATTTATCACAGAAGAATTTTGATACGCATGTTATATAGGATATTTCGAAATATCGTTAATATAATAAAACACGACCATTATTAGAAATTTACAATGAATCTAAAAGAATATATAAATCTTGGAATAGTTACAGACTTATTTTATTAATAGAAATGCATAGGAATACAGTTGTAGTTATGGATTGTTAAAAATTTACTCTCATACTTATAGGCGATGGGTGGTTCCAGTACTATCAATTACATGAGGTATGCTCGTGGTAACCCAAGAGATTACGACGAATGGGTAGAAAGAAGAAATCGTCGTTGGAATTACAAAGAATGCCATATTTCCTCAAGTTAGAAAATAACATGGATTCAGAGGTAATAAATTTAATAAATTAATTCGAATAATTGAAATTCATATTATCAATTACCAAATAATTTAACTGTTGACAATGTAATCCGAATAATACGGTTCTTATATATACAGAGTGCTTCATAGTCACATCATATAATTATATAACCATATTATAAGAGTTCGTTATTCGAAAAATAAATAATTGGTTCTATCACCAGGAAGTAGTATTATAATATCGTATTAGGTTGTTTCTAGGTGGATGCGTGAAGGAAATACGAAGATCAATTCTATATGAAGATTACCTACTTTCTTCTATATGAAATTCCATAATTTTTTTTTCACACCAGTGAAAACACAGCAGATGATTTTCTATAAGAAAAATTGATTTATTTTAAATTGACTAAAATTAATAGTTTAGAAGATATTTTGATTTTAATTTTGTAAGACATCTGCAAAATGTACGTAATTCTGGATTAAAAGAATAAAAATTAAGAAGATAAATAAATTTCTCTACGAAGTCAGATTATACTGTAATTATAACGTATATTAAATTATATTATAATTATAGTTACGTTACATTCATTTGTTACTGGACTACGGATTTTTATCTAAATTTTTATTTTTATTCATACAAACGAAACAGGAATTGTTTTGTCTATCAGAAATTATAACGAGTACTCTAATTTGAATATTTTATATATTTTTACACGTTGTAGTATATTTCGTGGATTTTTCTATAAACTAATATACATATAAATATTCACAATTACTATGTACATTGTTACGATACAGGATAGGCGATTTCCCATAATTCTAATCATTAAGATAAGGGGAAATCGCCCGAAAGACGTTAGGCTTCTTGTCCACATAAAATAATTTATTATTCTATTTTTAGATAAGCACAACCCGCCTCACCCGTTTTTTACACTGGCAAGAAGTCGGCATAGCATCTATCATGATCTATCATGGCTGTTGACATAGTTTCCCAATCACTGACCCACGTACCTATTATGTTTGGTGTCAATCTTCCTATCGATTTCTAATAATTTCACTATTTTTAAAGGAACTTTAGAGGAAAAGCAATCAAACAGCTCACGGTTCAATGTGATTGGCCAGCTCTCGCCACTATTTTTCAATAAAACAGGCCCACCGTCAGTGAGAAAAATCATTAAAAGTGCGTCAAATTCATCATAGTATTATACATTCATTAAATGCGTCAGATGATATTTCCGCAGCTAGTGCGTCAAATTCAATATAGCACAAAAACTAGTGTATCACACAATCACTCTGTTAATGTAAGAAGTTATAATACTCGACAGTCAGTGCGTCACTGAGTACGTAAATACAACCACTGAGTAAACAATAGTTACAAGTATAATTTTTATTTAAATAAAAATCATTTAAATAATATCAAATATAAAATTTAATACACATTTCTGATTTTCAAGAATACGTTTATCCTATATTTAATATTATATAAAACAAAAATAAATTTTTATTCATCTTGTCTCGTTATTATATTATCTTCGCCATATTGAATATGAGAAAATCAAATGAATCATGCAAATAATGTCGTCGTTATTCATAAATATAATTTGTTGAATGTTAACTCTTTTTTTAACAAATTATCGTGATAGAAACATGAATACAAATGATATAAATATTACAAATGTTATACACATAATATTTATCTTGTGTTAAAATGGTTAACCAATGTTGCAATGTTAATAACATATGATATTTCAATAAACTTAAACTGTTCATCAATCATAAATCATCTTAATCGATTTAAGTAGCTACAGTGTTAATTTTCAATTTTTAATTTACGGTGTTAGTAATGAAAAACAATTATCCACACATTTTCTTATTCAATGTGACTATATTATATGCCTGTATATTGTCTATTGCATTTTCTATAACACATAGATACTTCTAACATCCTCTCTATAACTCTACATCGACCGAATACACAGAACGAATTTAGTACACAACCTAATAACTATTAATTTTCTTCAACTGTTGTATGTACTTAAAAACTAAAATTTACATATGTATAAAACTTTACATATGCATCCGCATTTTAGTAATAACTTTAGTAATACAACTACCTTCCAATTTTTTGCTTAACTTGTTTACAAGAACACATCCGGCTTGTCCAACTTCCATGATAATAAAATTGTATGAAAAATTCGTTTTATATATAATATAATTTTAAACATAAATTCTAGAATATATATATAATAATAGATATATTTATAATTATTTTAAAATATATCATCTTTTTTATATATTCTACCTATATATTATTTTTTGATTAAAGATATAGTTTTCAACGAACTAGTGCTTAAAAATTTATCTTCGTGTCCGCCGTTACATAATTTCCAATTGCACCTTGCATATTGTAAGTGTAGTAGATAATGAGTCACAAAGTACACGTGCCGATGAGTAATTACTAAGTTATCGCTATTTTCTGACAAATT